AATTTGCTAAACCTTTATATTCTGTTTAGTTCTGTCTTATTATATTATGTTTGCCTGTAACCTATAATTACTCTTTTAGGTTTTCCTTCTCTTGGTTTACCTGTTATCTCATTTTAGGTTTCCCTGTCTCCTGATAACCTTCTTGTGGCATATTGCCTAACTCTTATTTTTTCATGCTTTTTCCTATAATTCCGCTTTTAGGTTCTCCTTCTAACTTTTACCTATAATTCCGTTTTTAGGTTCTGCTTCTATCTATTTCCTTATAACCTGTCTGGGGCTTATTGCCTACACTCTTTATTTTATAACCCTCATTATACTTACCTGTAATCTCGTTTATAGGTTCTTCATTCCCCTTTTGTCAATATTATTTCCATTAGACTTTAAGTCTTTCTACACTTATTATTTCAAGTCAAAACCATGTCTAAATATTCCAGTTAAGACCCTAAAGTCAACCCTGGTATAAGTCTCTTATCTGACCTAAATCAGAACCATAACAATCATCTCTTAAAATGTGTTAATTCTCCCTGTAAACCTTCCTGCCATGCTACACCACCTAAGCCATATGTGCTTTCTTTGGGCTATTTGCAATGTTGGATCATTGAAAGAGTGTTCTTGAAGAGTTTGGTGGCAAGATTCTTCAATACCTTTTAGACCATGGTTCCTAAGAAATGCTGCTTAGAAATTATAACAGTAGACTGTATTTTTATATTGGAGTACTTGGATGTAAAAATGTGAAACAGCTGCTATATTTGTCTATAATACATTTCTGCATAACCCGTGCTGCCTTGCTCTTTGACTATCTACGTGAATGTATTGTAAACACGTATTAATTTGTGAATCAATCACTAACGAGATAACAAAGGTGTGATGTTGTTAGGATTATTCATTGTTAGATCCGTCATGCATTCATTAGTTTTTTTTACCGCAGTGTTAAATTATTTTACTATTTTTTTTACTATTTCTTCTGCAGAGTAAAAGCAGCGGTTGGTGCTAAAATAATGGATGTGAGAGTGGATGACCTTGGGCAGTGGGAGGTACAGAAACAGATTGAAAATAATGAGAAACACACAACTGCCACACTTGTATGTGTGCGCCATGGCCCACTGGTGCAGAGCAGGTATGTCATTCTAAAAATGAATGTAATATGGACTTTAGGTCATGTGATCTACATTAATTTCATATGTAGATAAAGAAGGAAGAGCTACTTATTTAATGTCTATAAATGATTAAGCTCCTATGTTCCATGTATACTATATCACATTATTTGATAAAGAAAGCTTACTCATCCCTGCTGCTGGCAAATTCTTTCAAAATTAAAGTGATGGCCAAAATGACTGTTTACCCCATAATTAGCATTTTGCATTTTCTTTCAGTTTATATTACCTAATATACTTTGGCAATTGACATATTTACTTGAAAATTATGTCTGCCTGTAAAATCTGGCAAGGAGCAAGTTCATGAAGAATGTAGACCGTCTGCTCCAAATGGACACTGTGAACGTAATTGCTTTCAATGTGAGACAGCCACATTGGGTTCTTGTCAAATAACTTGAAACACTGAAGCTTAGACATAAAGTTCTCTAAACTGCTTCTACCTACATGAATTTCTCCCTCATACCACCCGTTTTCTCTAATCCAAAAAAGGTTTCTGTAGCTCGCATTTATAAAATCCTTTTTTGCACCCTTTGTGGGCATTTTGTATTGTATAGGGTGTATAGGGCAGCCATATCTTATTTAGAAATTTCAATACAAGAACAGTATATATCCTTTCATTACTTGTTGCACGTTGATATCTGACAAATGGAAAAATAACACAGCCCGGTCTTTAGTAAATTTAATGACCTCCCACCATTTATTGTTCTATTAAGGGCAGTAACATAACTGAATATAACAGAACCTGTTCTTTGACAGAAATATTAAAATGAATGGGCTGATCGGATTAAATAAACAGACACAATTTCATGTTTAGAACATATGCAGATGTGTGATTGGATTTTTAGTTGATGCAGATTCCCACGCTATTCCCTGAACTTTGATCTTCTACATCATTGTTGGGATTATTAATCCTCAGAAGTGATTGGCGGAACTGTATGATAATAGGCTTTTCACCGCTAAGCTATTGGTAAATGAAATGTAAACACAGCTTTCATTAACCTTGTCAGTGTTTTATCTTTTAAGATGTATTAATGCAATTTTTACACCTTGTAATTTCGTTTTGTAGTTATAACATTGAATCATTGGCATTTTCCTCCGTTACAATCAAAGCACAATACGCCTTAATCTCAGCGGTAGATTTCTCCTTGCTTTATTATTTACATCCACAGCACTGCAGTCCAGTGAACATTTAATGGAACACTATAGTGTTAGGAATACAAATGTGTATTCCTAACACTACAGTTCCTTGGTGGCCATTTAGGTGACCAGCCACCATTTGCAGGGAGAAAAAAAAAGGAAGTGTGTACCTTTAAGGTAGGGAGAAGACTAGTCGGGGCCTGAGACTACTACACAAAATGTGTAGAATTCAGGCTCATCTAAAAGGGACCACAGGGTCCAAAAAATAAAAAACTCCACCCCCGTGCCTTCGAGGTCTGACGAGCTTGGCGGGCGAAACGCGCGCGTCAGGGGCTACATGGCTTTTTTATGCCGCTTTTCTCTCATCATAGATTATTTCTTATTATTATTTGTTTCCTCTGATTTGTGTTAAGTTTGATATTAGTGGGGTGAGCGTTAGGTGCCCTCGAAGGCACGTGGGTGGAGTGTCAGCCGTAGCGCTAGCCTTTTTCACCATTACTAGTCAGTGTTAGACACTATTTGCTATCTTTTAGTGCAGTGTTATTCGGTACCCTTTTGCTCTTAACCCAGGGCTGTACCCTGAACATTCACAGGCAAATCCCTTATAGCATCGGGTGACTTTATCGAGAACCCGTACTTGCCGTCATACATAGATACATTCTGTGTGTTACAGCCTCATAGATGTGCGATTTACGTATATCAAGTTATATTTACTAGGCTACTCAGATTGCACTACCTATTTGCAGTATTCATTTATTTTTTATTATTTTCTATTTTTACCTTATTTATTATTTCCTTTACTCTCCTAATCATATCCTTCAATTACATCTTTGGCTGTTACACTATCGATATAATATAGCACAATATACTTCTGTTATATTTTTAGGGCTGTACCCTGACTATTTAAAGATACATACCTTCAAAACATCCACCGATACGGTTGAGAATTCTCATCTACCGATACATTTAGATACACTTTGTTATATCTCTGTTACAGTTTCAGGCCGGCACCCTGATTACTTTAATATACATATCTTTACCATATCGGAGGATACTGTTGAGAACCCTCATTTGCCGACATACTGTGATATATTTTGTATGTAGCAGCCTTCTAACACGCTACTTAGGCTGCCCTATTTTATTTCAGCTATTACCAGTATTTCTTTATCTTTTTACTCATTGTAACTGGCATCTGTACCTCTTTCTCCCCCCCCCCCCTCCTTTCTTTCCTTTTGCGCAGACGTGCGCTAGGATTAGGTTAATGTACTACCACCCAATCAGAGTTTATCCTGTATATATTACTATATTTTTGTGTTTCATTCTTATTATAATCAGAGTCTAGCTCATATATATACTTAGATCTCTGTGTTATTTCAAGACTTCTGTGTTATTTTTAATTATTACCAATAAACTTGTTCTTTATTTTTTGGACCCTGTGGTCCCTTTTAGATGAGCCTGAATTCTACACATTTTGTGTAGTAGTCTCAGGCCCCGACTAGTCTTCTCCCTACCTTAAAGGTACACACTTCCTTTGTTTTGTATCCATTTTCACTAGGGGTTATCCCCCTTTCACTGTGTACCTTGGCTGTTTTCAGACAACGTTTCCTATCCATGTCTGGTCCCACCTCTTCGGCGGATAGCATCGAGATTGATGATCTCAGCCAATCCAATGCTTTCTCATAGGAGATCATCGGATAAAAATAGCAGTTTTATGTTTTAACCCAGCAATGAAAACATTTGTGTACTTGCAGAATGGCACTGTTTTCAGCTTCAGTTAAAAGGGAGCACACATTACCCAGACCACACGACTTCATTAAGAATCCCTTTAAGGATTGTGGTTTGCCATTTGAAAAATAAAATTGCATCTTTTGCATCCAATATTTGGAATGAGTTTTATATCCCCTTAAAGACCAGGGTTTCAGAAATCAATTTATATTATAACATGCCTGCCATGGTCATTAAGGGATTTCTTTTCATTCAGAAATTGTATGGCAAAAATGTACATGCAACTTTAAGTCAATATTGTTACTTCAACATTAAAAGATTAAATTATGAATATTTCATTGCTGTGATAAAATCCAGACTGGTCTTCACCTGCAATTCGTTCAGTACCTGAGATTCTAGCCATAAATTTGAAGTTTGCTTTGAATTCACAATACATTCACACGTTAGTGAAAAACCATGTTTGTAACCCCTTGAATAACATCTGAAGCCAGAAAATCAATTTATTTTAAAAGGTCTCTCAGCAGATGTATTCAGATATGGCATGCTAAAAAAACAAAAAAAAAAAAACAGCAGGATTGCCGCAATAGTTTTTGAATAAAGTTAGCTTATGGAGGAAGACAAAAGTAGTGATTCTGAATAATAGGCCTATGGGCAACATAACATTATCAAAATCCAACACTCCAGACATATCTTATATATGGCTTGAAAATAAATTATCAGCCTGTTTAGGGTAGCAAGTACTATTATACATCATACATTTTTTAAGAACCCTATATCCTGGAGATATATTATTGACTAGGTGTTTCCAATGCAATAATACTACTGTTCACAAATACACAAGTAGTGATTTTAGTGATCCCAGTTTTTGAGATTTTCCATTGGATTTATCGCCTTCCATTGTGAAGGTTAGAAACATAGAATGTGACGGCAGATAAGAACCATTCGGCCCATCTAGTCTGCTCAATATAGGAAAACCTATGGCCTTGCATTGGCTGGAAATCAAAAATTGGCCTCCCGTGTGGTAGGCGAGAATTCTACCACTGAACCACCAATGCCTCGTGTTTAGATTAGGCACTATTTTATTATTGCTGCAGCTTTTTAGACCCCTATGATTCATATCAAGGATAGTGGGGCATTAATTGTAACCTTGTAATTTCTTGCGTCGGGCGTGTTTGCTGCTTTTTATTATTTTGATATAACGTTTTTGAGCACAGTGTGATAGCGATTAAAGTTATATATAGGCAAGTGGATTGGGAATGTTAGGTAGGCGATTTCTGGGTGGAGAGACTCTGTACCACTGAGACTTAGCTCTGGGATAGAATTTGTACTTTGATACAACTCTGGGTGGGCAGCCTGATTTATCCCTCCTTACTTTTCCTTTCAGGCACAGTGAATTGCATAAGGGCACTGTGTAGTGTAGGGTGTTTGGTTCATTCCCTTTATTACAGTATTCTCCGAACATGACATTTTAGTGTGGCTGTAATCTGTATTGCAGCATTAATTGGGTACATCACATGATTCTACTGGAGATTGGAAACCTTGTATAACAACTAAACTCATAGGCGGCCTTGCAGAGAGTTTCAGCATTGCTAGTCTACTAGTGTTTAAGATTACAATATTTATCGAAGTGAGTAATGTAGAGAGTGTACCTTGTTACGTTCACATTGGAACAATGGGACACCGTAAAAAGGATATAGCCTTCTAATCCAACTAGCAACTTTTTTTTAATACATACAATGCAGATGTTCTAGGATATTGCAGGTTATTTTATAAGGGATAAACAGGGTTGTACATTCTGAGCTAAATAAGAGACTTTGATAGAGTTTGCTTGTGTAGATGTCGCATGATGACCACATGTGAATAAAAAGTCCATTATTTTGGTGCCTCTTCATATGATCAATTAAGGGTACAAGAATTACACAAATGATGTATCTTTAAAGTCACAGTTCTTGCTGTTACTGTGTAGAAGCCCTTATGTAACATATTATATAATGCTCTTAGAATGCTGGAATTAATGTGCTTTTAAATCATGCAATCACTTGGATGTTGTATTGTGCCCTGTTGCAGTAATGATTACCCTTTCCATTGAGCTCAGTATTTCTGCCAGAAAACCCTTTTTCGTTTAAGACTGTGTTCTGCTTGATCTCCTTCGGTCTTGGGAATTTCATATCTAATTCATGTTTGTGAAACGTCAAAATTCCACACAGTTCAAGCCGAGTAAGTGTCCATTATATAATAATCAAGAGACACAAGAGTGTGCCTGTATTTAGTAGCAGTGCATGATGTTTCAGTTAGCTTTTCTCTCTCTAAAGGATTGGAGACAACCTGTCTCATTACACAAGGCTCATTAAAGGCATTGTGTGTGCAAATGTGTTTTCAGAAGAAAATATTTATTCCACAGATGATAGCTGAAGTTACAGTTCATGATTTTATTGAGTTCTTTGTGCATCTAACATTTTTTTATTCAGTATTTGGAGTAAAGGGTAGCAAGGTTATTTAAAGTAACATTAAATTGGTTCTGTCATCAGAAATAGTCAATGCATCATCTTAGAGCATTTACAAAACTGTCTATACCTTGTATTAATTTTTAAATAATTTCCACTTAACCTTGCGCACAAAAGTAAAGATCATTATGAGAGTGTTCAAAGAACAATTTCCTGTTTACTGCATAGTTGAAAGCTTTGTGCTATCCAGCATATTACAGACTCCAAATGGTCAGATATTGGCCATAATGTTGACACCATGAGAATTTAGTTTCTTCCATGTTCTACTGCTTTATACCTTCTCAATCCAATCAATCATGGAAGGAATTTATTGCGTTCTACAATGAAGTGGTATACGTGCCTTAGCAGCACTTAGTAAATGTGGAAGGAGAAAAGGCTTATATTTTCCTAAGGAAAGTGGTTGGAAATGGAATAGAAAAGATTTTGGTGTAAATAGTAATCTAGCACCAATAATGGAGGTGGTAAGAGTTGCCATTTTTGACCAAAAGCTTCTAATTTTCTCACATTACCACAAGCGTTACCCATGCCTACCTGACACCTGCAGCAAGTCTCTATATTTGCATGTTAAATACTCAGTGAGAGAGGATCAGTTCTCCTGATCATACCCTTGCCAACTAGGGGAGGGCAGTCTTGTAACAATGCCTAAGCCTAAGCCCATGAGATATGCCAAGTGATCGGTTTGAGTGAGCTACCAAGGTATCAGGGACCAGGGTCTGACCTCAAATTTAAGTTATAGAATAAAGAGAGGATGCGATCCTAGCCCCTAAATAAATCACAGATTTGTCTGCCCACTTAAAGGGATAATCAGATGTAGGGTGTCCACCTCCCATTGTAGAGTATGCAAGCTAAGAATTTCACTTTGATACAAGTTAACTTTAAACCAGTAAGGGGGTTTAAAGCTGCATCTCCTGCAGTAACCCAAAATGTCAAGCCATTGTTAATTAAAGGTAGTCTGCAAATGCTATCCTGTGTCTCCTATAGGGATGTCTTGCCCAGTGTAGGGAGCAAAGTGATAGATGCTTTCTAGGATAAAGAGAGCGATTGAGGGTTTGAAGTGTTAGGATTACAGAATGATCAAGCACGTAGGATTGTGTAACACAGAGGACTGATAGGTAACGTATACCGGACCTTAGAATGGCCGGACTAACGTACCAAAGAATAGTCAGGAATAGCCGAGGTCAAGGGAAACAGAAAGAGACACAACGATAAGGAAAAGCCAGGAGTCATGGATGCCATAAAACAGGAAAGTCAAAAACAATGCCAAAGTCAAATAACCAGAAATACCAGAATTAATAATGAGCTCTCGGACAACCACAAGGGAAACCACGACAGAGCACTGAGCAGGATGAGAACTGGGCCTAAATACCCCATCTCTAGATCTGATAGGCTGTAACCGGCCTTTGATCCCAAAGGCAGTTACCAGGTTTCCATTTGCATAATTGCTGTTTAGCATTATCCCTTCTGTGGATTTGGTTGCTGCTCGGCACAACTTTTCCTGTGTGGACAGTAAATGCCATTAATTTTTATAAGCTGATGAATACGTGACATTACCCCCCACCTGAAGAACGCCCACTGGGCAGGCAGGACCAGGCTTGAGAGGAAATTTGGTGTGAAAATAGCGAATCTTGCGGCCAGCATGTATATCAGACGCCGGAACCCAAGAACGATCAGCTGGTCCATAACCTTTCCAATCAACCAAGTACTGTAAAGTGCCCCGAGAAAACATGGAATCAACAATGGAGGAGACTTCATACTCTTCCTGTCCAGAAACAACTAAGGGAGGAGGAGGGACACTTGGGACAGTATATTTATTGCAAACAAGAGGTTTGAGCAAGGACACATGAAAGGTATTAGGAATTTTCAAGGAGGCTGATAGCAGAAGTGGATTTATTAATACCTGGGTGACCAGCAGACACATTGTCATGAAACACCTTCATGATATTAATCCTTTCCCCCAATGGAATGAACAATTTGTCCTGAGGTTTACCGCAGGGCGCCTGAGACTGAGCCTCCATGATGGAGTCAAGCAGCGGAGAGGACAATGAAAGGATAATGGAAGCAATGATACATTCCGGGGGAATGATATGGGACTTTTCTTGCTCTTGTATAGACTCAGTATCAAACTGTCTGGATAAGGCGTCAGCCTTGACATTTTTATAACCAGGTCTATAAGTAATAAGAAAATTAAAGCGAGAAAGGAACAGAGACCACCTAGAAGACAATCATTTAGCCTCTCCTATGTAAGCCAGGTTTTTGTGATCAAAAGGGGGTCCTTGGAACCCTCTAAAAGATGTTGCCACTCCTTGAGAGCTAGAATAATGGCCAACAATTCCCTATTGCCAATATCATAATTGCGCTCAGCAGGAGACAACTTTCTAGAGAAGTAACCACAAGGATGCAATGGAGTATTCTGGCTCTCCCTCTGGGAAAGAACTGCCCCTACCCCTCTCTCTGATGCATCAACTTCCAGTATGAAAGATTTACTGGTGTCTGGATGTATCAATATGTCGGCGGAGGCAAACCGCTGTTTGAGAGTTTCAAAGGCTTCTCTAGCCTCCTTAGACCATATCGTACTGCTAACCCCCTTACGTGTCATATTGGTGATGGGGGCTATTACTGAAGAAAATCCCTTTATAAACCTTCTGTAATAATTGGCAAAACCAATGAACCTTTGAATGGCTTTCAACCCAGTGGGTAAAGGTTATTGCAGAACCGATTCCAGCTTTTTAGAATCCATCTGAAACTCAGAGGCAGAGATATTCTATCCCAAAAACGTACTTCAGATTGGTCAAAGATGCATTTTTATAATTTACAATAAAGTTGATTCTTTAACAAGGTCTGCAGAACTTGTCTAACGTGATCGTGGTGAGTGTGAATGTCAGGAGAAAAAATAAGGATATCATCCAGATAGACCAAGACAAACAAGTAAATGTAATCATTGAGTACATAATTTATGAAATCTTGGAAAACCGGTGGAGCATTGCACAACCCGAATGGCATCACTAGATATTCACAGTGTCCACTTCTGGTATTTAATGCAGTCTTCCACTCTTGGTTTTCCTTGATTCTCACTAAATTGTAAGCACTTTTAAGATCAAGCTTAGTAAATACTTTAGCGCCTTGGAGTCTATCAAATAATTCAGCAATAAGAGGAATGGGGTAGGCGTTATTAATGGTGATTTTGTTCAATGCCCTTTAATCGATACATGGGCGCAACTCACCGTCCTTTTTAGATACAAAAAAGAATCCTGCCCCAGCAGGCGAGGATGATTTTCGTATGTGGCCTTTATTCAATGAATCCTTAATATTTTCCTCCATAACTCTACTCTCCTGAGGTGACAGAGCATAGACTGCTCCCTGAGGGTTATACTTGTTAAGCCATGGAAAGCCTAATATGATTGAACAGGAAGGGGATGCAATAACCTGAAATGTAATCTCTTCCTTATGTAAGGAACCAATGGACAAATTAATGGGCAAGGTTTTGTGTGTAATCAATGATTGTGAGAGTGGTCTCCCATCAATAGCTTCAACAGCTAGGGGTGATAGTCTCT